GCAGGGAGAGGTTTCCCCCCAGCACCGCGACGAGATCTCGCCGCGAGTACTCCCAACGCGGGCACGTTTCGAGCGCGTGCTGCGCGTCATCGTCCGGGCGCCCGCACTGGTGGTAGCCCGGATGTGATCATGTAGTTACCTAAAATTTTTAAAGATTATATAAAAATATATAGGCTCCATTACAAAGCAAACTGCCGTAACCAAAGCCAAGACAAAATTTCTTTTAATTTCGTATTTATTATTTATCGTTATTACGATCGCGGACGCATTATTCGTCGACTTTTTTAGTTATTTATTTATTTATTGCCATTGTTATTGCTTTTAACACTGAAAATGCGAAATAAAAATAATAGTAGGCACCAAAATGATATCATAATGGCAGTTTCAATCATCTATTGATTATTCTCAACACAATAAAAAAAAAATCTATGCACAAAAAATAACACAACCGTGATATGGGGAATCTGCTGTCTCCAGGGAACACGTGGGGCAGTTACTACCTACGTTACTCACCTTACTAACTGCCTTAAATTATATACTTATAAAAGTAATAACAATTTTACTTAGTTAAGTAAATAAAAAATTCTATTAATCTAATTTAGGGTTGTGGTTTATTGGCGTTTCGGCATCGGGAAGAGTCTTGTATAACAAACACCCCATATGTATGTACTATGTGTATTCTGTTGCTGAAAATTCTGCTCACTGAATTATATACATATTGAGAACATTCTGCTCACTGAATTATCTTTGTGTGTTTAATACTAAACAGTTTATTCCATTTAGTAGTAACTTGTACTGGTGGTAGGACCTCTTGGGAGTCCGCACGGGTAGGTACCACCACCCCGCCTATTTCCGCCGTGAAGCAGTAATGCGTTTCGGTTCGAAGGGTGGGGTAGCCGTTGTAACTATACTTGAGACCTTAGAACTTATATCTCGAGGTGGGTGGCGCATTTACGCTGTAGATGTCTATGGGCTCCAGTAACCACTTAACACCAGGTGGGCTGTGAACTCGTCCACCCATATAAGCAATAAAAAAAAAACTTGATACTTGTACAATTCTCTTCACACAGATTTCGATTCAAGATTTTTTGTTCGATCACTTTCGATTTCAGTTCGTTGAGAATTAGCTAAAACGAGTCCTTATCTTAAGTAATAAATAACAGAAGTACCTTTTTGAAATTGTCCGTAAGAACGTTCTAATAATTTAGTAAATAAAATCAAATGGTATTAATTAAATATTAACATAAAATAACTATAACGTGTAGATAATAAAGTTAATAGCCATTTTCTTGTCGCTGATCACTCAGCTGATTTTGGTTACAAAATAATTTTCGTCTCGAATTTCTCGAACTTCGAAGAATCTGTATAGAAAAAGAATATGATCTTGATTTAAGGTTTTCAATACAGTAATTTAAATAAACAGATAGTTGTATTTGCAATATATAATTTCCAAATACTAGTTTGTTTATTATTCTTTAGTATTTACCGTTTATCGTATATACCGTAGTATATTTAGTGTATTTACCGTTTTGTTCTAAACTTTTCCACTTTCCATTATCGAATATGTTCCGATTTTGGTTTGCTGGAAATAAACTCATTTCTGGGTTAAGCTCGCTTTGTATACGTACCATTGAATATAACTATACCATTTAATATATAAAATTCGGGAGCATCTTAAGTAATTTGTTATATCTATGAGATATTTTTTCTAAATGAACAGAAGTACATATACTGACGGACGGTTAGCGTGATATGGACATGTGATGCGTAGAGAGAAGACGTAGGTGACTATGAGATGTATGGAAATGGTAGTGGGAGAAGAGGTCGACCGAAGAAGACATGTATGGAGTGTGTGAATGACGATATGAGAGAGAGAGAGAGAGAGAGGAGAGTGAGTGTTGCGATGACGGCTGATAGAAGAGAATAGAAGAGAAAAATTAGCGGTGGCCGACCCCACCTAGTGGGATAAGGTGGAGAAAAAGAAGAGAGGTACATACTGAAAACAAACAGAAGTTGGAAATGACACTCAAATTATTAAGTGATATCTACGAAATTCCTTTAAATGTTCGTGGTTATCTACATCTACTATTGTTCAATGGCTTCCTACCATGATATTCAGATTCCACGAATTTCTGATATTTCGACACTGATGCTGGAGTTGCAAACGTCACGGTATAATAGTGTTGTAATAATAAAAATCAAAGCTTGCAGTTAAGGTTTTTATGTGTTTGTTTTCTATGGACACGCTATTAATCCGATTGAAATGAAATTTGATACAGTTGTTATTGGCACTCTAGAGAATATTTCTATGACATCACTCTTAGCGTACGATAGGTGACGCGCGATTAGTTTCAAGAAATCAATGTGCTTTACACTACATATTAACTATAGACACGGCAGTGCGTGACTCAGCACATTAAATTAACAATTAACCTGAATATACATATACTAAAATTGTGAATGTGAACGTTTTTATGTTTGGACATTTGCTACTCAATCACAAATAAATGGCTCTATGGATTTAAATTAAATTTAACACTGATATAGTTTATAATTTGGGCAGAATAAACACAACACGTTAGATATTTTTTAATACTATAAATGAAATGATCTAATTGACGCTGGGTATATCTGTATAGTGAATACGACTATAAGTTGGTTCGTGATTTTACGTACCAACAGACCTACAAATCTATATATATATAAAAATGAATTGCTGTTCGTTAATCTCGCTAAAACTCGAGAACGGCTGGACCGATTTGGCTAATTTTGGTCTTGAATTATTTGTGGAAGTCCAGAGAAGGTTTAAAAGGTAGATAAATATGAAAATGCTCGAAATTAAATAAAAATGACAATTTTGTTTTTCCTTTGATGTGTCCCCCGTCGGACGGATTCCTTTTGTTTGTTTTAAGTTTATTTTATACAAAAGTTTAGGCCTTTTATTTATCACTTGAGGCACTACGAAGTCTGAAGGGTCAGCTAGTCGATTGATAATTTATGGACTAGAAAGTGACAGGAGCACCTCTCTACTCCGGCAAAATATAACATGTTTCATTTTTTCTGAATTTCAAATATAACGCAAGCCAAACCGCGGAGCGCATCTAGTATTTCATAAAGCGGGGCACATCGTGTCGTCTCACGGGAATGTAATTTAAAACTTAATTATATTTGGATTAAGTTAGATACTTGCAGAGCAGCAATCTCCAGTTTAAGCATATTTCAAGCATTTTGTGGAAAATTTAAATGCAGCTTCACATAATCTGCTTAGCTTTATTGAAGTTGACTTCGCTTTTTAGTACAAAATTGATCTCATTACTTTCTCTCCTCGTTTATCTTACATTTTTAATTATTCTGCAATGTTATAAAATTTATTGTTAGCTTACGATTGTAATTAATTATTACTATTTTAATTACAATAAAACCACTATACAATAACACAAATTGATAAATTTTGCAGGTTTCAATTTTAATCGATATACGATAATAAAAATAATTGCGAAGATCTTTCGTAAATACGTGATAAATATTTGTTAAGATTTTCTAATTATTTGCATTCTAGATTTTTAGCATTAGCACGGTCGCACCGTTTGCAACTTTAATAATGCACTGTTGCCTAACTAATTCTTTAGGGCTGGACGATTTCGAAGTTAATTAGTGTCGAAGTTATTCAATACCCACTCGAGCTGTGTCAATCGAAGCAAAACCGTGTCAAAGTGAATACGATCCGGCAATAAGCACGAACGAGAATGTTTAACTGTTCAGATTTCTTTAACCGCTATCAAAATTTGCGATGAAACGCGACGAAATTAGTATTAGTACTAACCTAACTTAAAGAGAATTCCTTATATACTAATCTAACCAAACAAGTCAATAGGTAAAATGGCGCGGACCGTATTTTACATTGTGTGTGCAATACAAACATTAAAATAACGTGTGCGTTCGGGAGTTCTTATTGTCTACCAAAGAAGCCTCAACATCAAACAGGTTCATGTAATATACGAATAGCATTCGTTTATTAAGATTAAATAGTAATTATTGAATTCTATTATTCTTCTTAGTCGAATACTTCATTGCTGAAGGTCGTGTTCTTGAAAGCCCTTCGTGGCTCTTTGTACCCTCAGCTTCCATTTGCTTCGGTTTTCGGCTTCTCTCTGGGCGTTCGTAACAGAGAGTCCAGTGAGCGCAGTTATCTGATCCGACCAACGGTTTGGTGGCCGGCCGGCGGGTCTTTTCCCTTCCACCTTGCCCACCACAATCAATCTTTCAAGGTTCTCTGGTGGCCGTCGAGCAATATATTTTATTTGCGGAAAAAAATTGGAGCGTTCGAGATGTGGTGTTGGCGAAGAATGCTCCGCATACCGTGGACCGCCAAGAGAACAAACAAATCTGTCCTCGAGCAACTTCGTATAGAAACGAGACTGTCGACGATTTGCTACCAGAAGGTTCTTGGTTACTTTGGTCATATTGCTCGGCGGCCACCAGACAACCTTGAATTATATTATAAACGATACAAAATAATTCTAATGAAATTCTTGAGGTTATACAATCGGCATAACCGTCTATTCGGTTACGCGCAGTATACAAATTCAACATTTCGAATTCTTTACAATTGTCATGCCTTCAATGGTAATTTTTTTGGTTATAAACGATCTACGACTCATGACATATCAGGGAAATACTAAAGAATTCTAAAGCATTACTAAACACATTGCTAAACGTTTTTTTTTTACTATATTCTCACATTTTGTATCGTTATCATTACTCTTGCTAGGGTTAGTGTTAGGAAGTTGTCTCATATTTTAGCTCCGTGAGCTTGCCTACCAAACCGGTAGCTGGAGAGCAAGCTGGACCTCGAGGCTACGAGCGTTTATGTATTTTTAAATAGGCGTTTTATTAATATATTTTTTAATAAAATTAATTTGCCTACGACTAGCGAAAATCAAAGAAAATACTGAATTTTAAAGTATTTTAAAGTTTTAACGTAAATATTTTTGTTACAGAGCAACTATACGAAGTTCTTGAAGAACTTGCACACGGAGCAGATCGCAAAGCTCCATGCGAAGAATCAACATGAATGCGATCTGCTTGAAGACCTGCGCTGTTACATCGTCAAACGCTCGTCTATCGAGAGATCTTATTCTGAGGTAAGATCATTATAATACTATTGAGGGCTAAACAAAAATAAAATAAATAATAGTTTAAAAAAACTATAATAACAAAATACGCTTTTATAGAAAATCCAACTAAAAAATAGAAAATAAATTTTAATAAATTTGAATTAAAAATAATGTAAGAAAAAAAAAATATTGTAAAAGAAGCGTGGCGTGCCTGGTATCAGTAGTTATAAATATTTTATGAACAGATATGAGTAGAAGAGTTATTTTGTTAATATCATGAAAAGCACCCCACGCTAATAAAAGCGTATTTTGTTAGTTTTTTAAACTATTTTTTATTTTTTAGTTGAATTTCAATTTTTTTTTATTATTGTATTATCATCGGTCCTTAATAAATATACCAAAATTCGAGTTAATCCAACGTATTGAAGGGGGTCAAAATCATGTTCAAAGATTCCGTTACAAACATACATACATACGTCTGAAGCGAATAAAAGCATATTAAAAAGAGTTCGAAAGAGGTAGAAAAGGCACCCAAACTCTGACAACATTTATCAGGAAAAGCTCCGAGTGTAGAGACGAACTTAAATTTACATAATCCCAGAAAACAATAAGAAAAACTATTTCTTGAAGAAAAATTAATAGTACATCTTTTTAGGCATTTTCTTTTGTGTAACCAAGATCAAGACAACCTCGATCACACGAAAAGGCCCTGAACGTTGACGTAACGTAAGTTACTCGAGAGAAACTTGATTTGACTTGGATACCGCAGCTAATACGATAAGAGACGCAGGATTCACGAAGCGAGAATTGGCTTAAAACTGAGAAAGAGATACGGAGTCGAGAAAACTTGAATTTACAATGTAAGCTGCTATGCCAATTACGGTACCAGTAACTATTATGGCGAAAACGTCCGAACACACAGAAGCTGCCATTAGTACCCGTTGAGATTATTTAAAAAAAAAAAAGCGTTACTGTCATTGGAAAAATAATAAAAAGAGGTATTAAGGTTTTACTAGCGACTGGTGTGATAGCTTCATACGTGTATTACTGTATACATAGTATTAATTTCTTGACTATCACATTGGAGTTAGTCTCAGTTGTGCGTCAGTCATGGCTCAGGAAATCGCTCCGGCCTCATGTTTCAAGATAGTCGGTATCAATCACGCTATTGTATTGTCGACCTTATATAGTAGCTATCACTAGTTAAACTAGCATATAAAAAATAACAAAAAAAGATACGTTTTATTTTTGATTTTCTCTTATGCAACTTACCGCAAAATACATGATGAACATGTAATTTAAAATATTTGGTTTCACAACACTAAAATATAACAATACGCTGTGTGGTCTTGGCCCAGAATAGCACTATTGCATCTCTTGCCGTGGGTGAGGATAAGTAAGTAAGTAAGGAGCGAGTAAGGAATTTGTTGGAGAATGAGTAGCAGCATTCTCTGAGCATTATACCAACGTACTGCTATCGTGAACCAACACGTTATTACACAGCACCACAACATTATTCATGCCGACTTGAAGTCATCTAGCCATGAAATAGGCGGAATAAGAGTACTTTAGTAGTATAGTAGTACTTTCCTGTATAGTACTAGTAGTATTTCTACCTATTGATATCTGATTTCAATGGTGGTAAAGCTGTTATACATGTAACCTCTATATGATTTATGAAATAAATCTTAAAAGAGGTTAATATGTTATAAGGGTGACATAAATGGTAATTTGAACATTGAAACATTAGAAGAAGGAACATTAGAAATATTATAAGATTTTTTGAATATTGAAATATGAAAAACATAAAAACTAGTGAAGCTTTAAATGTTTCTCTTTATTGAGCTACTCAGTTTGTGCTATAGTTTTACTAGGCTAAAATTTATTTTTATGTAAATAAAATAATACATTATACACATATAATTCATTAGAAACTTTGTCCTTATGTTTCAAAGTAAGTGTCGGTATTCATATTTGGACGTTTACAGGCTCTGGTAACCGCTTTATACCAGGTGGACTAATATTTATTTCACCCATCTAAACAATAAATAAATAAAAAGGCCGGATTTATTTCCCTGAAAAGAATTTACACAGGAAACATGACAAACGCTCTCATTGAACTAAGCGCGACGAGTTTATTTCTTTATTCGAATTACAAGTCTATTTTATGTTTCATTTTATTTTTATTTACGGGCCGCTTTCTTCTAGTACGTTTCTTTCGTATTTAAAAATAAATCGTATTAAAATCATATTAAAAAATCTTCTGGTTCTATCGTATTTAAAAATAGGAAAACTCAGTACTATCAGCACTCAACTTGAGACCTTAGAACTTATATCTCAAGGAGGGTGGCGCACTTACGTTATGGATATCCATGGGCTCCAGTAATCACTTAACACCAGGTGGGCTGTGAGCTCGTCCACTCATCTAAGCAAAAAAAAAAAACTCACCTCAATTTAGGACTTCTCGCCGAATCGAACTTAGAGCTTGTGGTGTAGCAGTCATGGTTACTAATCAGTGAACGATCTTTGGCCATTGACCAATTAAACATGATGCTTGATGATTAAGCATTTGAAGTCCTCGTGGCCTAAAGGATAAGACGTCCGGTGCATTCGTGTTAAAGCGATGCACCGGTGTTCGAATCCCGCAGGCAGGTACCAATTTTTCTAATGAAATACGTACTTAACCAATGTTCACGATTGACTTTCACGGTGAAGGAATAACATCGTGTAATAAAAATCAAACCCGTAAAATTATAATTTGCGTAATTACTGGTGGAAAGACCTCTTGTAAGACCGCACGGGTAGGTAGCACCGCCTCGCCTATTTCCGCCGCGAAGCAGTAATGCGTTTCGGCTTGAAGGGTGGGGCAGCCGTTGTAACTATATTGAGACTTTAGAACTTATATCTCAAGGTGGGTGCCGCATTTACGTTGTAGATGTCTAAGGGCTCTGCTAACCACTTAACACCAAGTGGGCTGTGAGCTCGTCCACCAATCTAAGCAATAAAAAGAAAAAAGGAAAAAAACATTAACATTTATTTTACTCAAAAGCCGATTACAATAAAACATGCGCTGTAATAGCTTCACGATGTTGATACATAACCGAAATCTACAACCAGATCAATTACTTCTCTTAGGTTGAATTTTCATAATTTCCGCTCTATGCCCAAGGCTGGAAACTTTATCGTCGCGAAAATGAAACGTTTATATAATGTATCCAGCGCTTAGTTACATCACAAAGCTATTGAAAAATTATAGAATCTTCTTTTTCCTTACCTTATCCCACTATTCCGGGTCGGCACAGCTGATATTTCTCTTCCATTCCCTTCTATCAGCCGCCAGTTCAACACTCACTCCTCTCTCTCTCATACCGTCATTTACACACTCCATCCATGTCTTCTAATGTTTTTTTTCTTCATTATTCATTGCCTTCAAAACGGGTACATTACTTTTCAATATCTTCTTCTTCTTAGTCGAATATTTCATTGCTGAAGGTCGTGTCCTTGAAAGCCCTTCGTGGCTCTTTGTACACTCAGCTTCCATTTGCTTCGGTTTTCAGCTTCTCTCAGGGCGTTCGCAATAGAGTCCAGTGAGCGCAGTTATCTGATCCGACCAACGGTTTGGTGGCCGGATGTAATTATAAATTAAAATATAATATAATTCAATATAGTCGCTATAATACTGCATTTTTCCCACGGTGTGGAAAGAAGCGGATATTATCGGCATACATTACCGCCCGATTAGCCTCCTCGTATTTCTAGGCAAACTGTATGAGCGTCTGCTCTACGAACGCCTCAGAGACTTCGTCTCATCCAGCGGTATTCTCATCGATGAACAATTCAGATTCCGCGCAAATCACTCATGCGTACAACAGGCACCGCCTTACGGAGCACATTCTCGTAGGGTTTAATCGACCAAAACCGTTATACACGGGAGCTCTCTTCTTCGACGTCGCAAAAGAGTTCGATAAAGTCTGGCACGACAGTTTGATTTTCAAACTTTTCAACATGGGCGTACCGGACAGTTTCGTGCTCATCATACGGAACGTCTTGTTGAACCACTCTTTTCGATATCGAGTAGAAGGAAGCCGCTCCTCTCCGTGACCACTCACGGCTGAAGTCCCGCAAGGCCCCGTTCTCTCTCATTAATTTATTTATTAACGACATTCCACGCTCACCGCCGACCCAGTTAGCCTTATTCACTGACGACACAACCGTTTACTACTCAAGTAGAGACAAGTCTCGAATCACGAGTAAGCTCCAGAGCGCAGCGTTAGCCTTCGGACAGTGGTTCTGAAAATGGCGCATAGAAATCAACCCAGCGAAAAGCACAGCAGTGTTATTTCAAAGGGGAAACTCACCGCTTAGAAATATCACACCCCCGAACATCCTCTTCGGCCAACCTCTACCCTGGCCCAGGAAGGTCAAGTACCTGGAAGTTACCCTGGATGCATCCATGACATTGTGCCCGCATATAAAAACAGTCCGTGACCGTGCCACGTTTATTCTCGGCAGACTCTACCCCGTGATCTATAAGCGGAGTAAAATGTCCCTTCAGAACGAGGTGACACTTTACAAAACTTGCATAAGACCCATTATGACTTACGCGAGTGTTGTGTTAGCTTACGCGGCCCGCACACACACTGACACCCTCCAATCCCTACAATCCCGCTTTTGCAGGTTAGCCGTTAGGGACCCCAGTAACCGTACTCGTCGAACTCGACAAAGACGTCGACGTGCAACCTAACCCATGCATCAGCTCGCTGAGTTTCTCGCCGGATCTTCTCAGCGGGTCGCGATTTCGATCCGGTAGTAGATTCATTCGCGAAGCAGTTGCTCTTGAGTTGTTAGGTTTCCTTCGGGCAGCTGTTAGCAATCCCACCCCTCCTGGCTGAGACTTTGCTCGCCTACCTGTCCTGGTGAAACTGGAAAGGCATCTGGGCCACCAGTAATCCTACTATCGTAAAAAAAGCTGCTTTAATTTCGATAAACTTTTTTCGATACTGACAGAGTTAATGAATTTATTTGAC